AGGAGGGCTTAGGAGTAATCACATACCGCGAATCGGAGCATAAAATTTGATAGGCGGGCCGATACTTGGAAGGCGAAATCTTGTCGTTTTTTGTGAATTCTGGTGATTAGTAAACCGAGAAGCATATTCAGGCCCCACCTAAGCACGTTTTCGTTTGCAACTAATGACAAGTTGATCTTAATCCTTAAATATTTTTGAACTAATGTATCTGCTTTATTTTCTGGCCATATATTTTCCAGTCTACCATGCCTTTAACGCAGTCTCTATCCTCTCACGTAACCATCTATCTATTTCGCGTTTTATTTTCATCCAAGGTAGTAGCTTCATTGGGGGAGGGGGGGGGATAACTTGGCAGAATTCTTCGCGTTCTTTGTTTGCTGCCCCTCAACTTACTCATACTTGTCGATTATATTTATTTATATCAAATGGCAGGCATCTTGATAGTTATCATTAGCCCTTTAGTTGACTTCAGACTTCTCAGAGGGGAAGGAACATCAAATTGAAAAAAATTCGAGAGGGGGGGGGGGAACAGAAAAGTGTTCCAAAGATGTAAGAGACAAACACAAAGGTAGAAAAAAGGTGAGGTGAGTACTGTGAAAGTGGTCGAATATGGCATACAGTGGAGTGATGGTAGTTTGAAGTCAGAAGTCAACTGCCGGTTTATAGACTGTTTTGCCGTACGAGTGCGTTGCCCAGGCTGCACCACGTGGAGGTAGGTCTATCGCACACCCCTCGTCGATTATATAAAAGGTTGTCAGCGGTTGTCATTCTAATCACTGTCATTATTTTTTGTTTTCGATGCCAGCAAATTCAAATCACTAAATAAGTTGTACCTCTTGTATTAATGTGGCATTTCAGCCACGATATTGTGCTTAATCACCCTGATTCATGTTTTATCAACCCCCCCCTTCCCACACGCCTATGGTAGTGTCTTAATTGAATGGCAAAGTAGTGAACGAAGACTGTGTGGCTGTGAATGAGAGTTTGTGTGCCCGAATTTGTGTATTGCAAAGTACTCGAATTTCGTGCCAAATATTCACAACATTCTTCCCTTTTTTCATTACATCTTCTCGAAAATTTCTGTGTTACCTATTTCTTTCAGCCATGGAAAGCTGAAGTTATTATATCTGTTCATCAGTTTTTGTTCGCTGTAAAGAAAAAAACTGAAGTGACAAAGTCATTATCGAATTTCTTCACACAGGTTAATTTTATTCATTAAGAGGGGTTTTAAAATATGAATTTCGACTAATTATTGCTCTTGAATTTATTTCTTCCCATGTCAAGTGTTATTGGCACTTCCTCAAACGAACTCCAACCGGTTTTACCTGCCTAGTTAAATTCTCTGACAGTATTCAGCTATAAGTCATTTATAGGTACTCTTTTTCCAATTTCCAGAAGAGCTACCACAAGTCCTGGCAAGAGGTGGCAATCCTCCTAATGCATTTCCACCCCGACCATGGCTTGAAGCTGGTTCTCTCGGTTTTGGACCTGTCCATCTTCACTCAGGTATAGCAGGTCTAGATCATGCCTACCGCAACGCCCAATTAGTCTTCATTCGTCACCACGACGATGCATCACACCGTCTCTGGTTCCTGTGGCTTTCGCATGACTCAATCACTGCACCTGAGGCTGCAGTTCGTTGCGGTTGCTATGGCAACTGCTCCTTCTTTGGACCCAACGCCTCGGGCAGAATGCTCCTTGATGAAGTCCTCACGGGAGTTTTCTCTCGTCGTGCGGTGTTCATCAGCGATTTAAAGAGACGCGAGGAGGAGGAGTCTTTGCGTCATCCTTTGTAAGTCCATCCCCTTTGACCCATTTAATACATTTACTGCAGACAAAGCTTTAATCGTTGCTTTTGCAGGATGCCATTCAGCGCTGAAACTCCAGAACGCAGTCTTGGTGTAAACTTTGGCGAAAGTCTTCTGGAGCCCGATCAACTTCTTTTCCAGCTACATAACTCAAACATCTGCTCGGATACTGAAAATGGATTTGCTTTGATGCGTCTTGACGCCATAATGGCTGATGAGGCTGCCAAGTTCGATACCACAGGCCCAATTCAACCCTGCTATTCCTCATCGGAGGAAGAGGATGATCTTGAAGGAGTTCATAGTGTTTCGTCTTATAGTGTTTTGTCATGCTCTAATGCTAGTAGCCGTCCAAGTCTTCGTGGATTATGGAGAAAAGATGGGAAGAGGATTAGTCAAACATCGCTTGAAAAACCACTTGTTGAAGGTGATGGTGGGAGAGGAAGGGATGACAATATATCGATATCGAGTCTCCTAGATGGTTTATCTATCGGACTGCCGACGACGCAGGTTGTGTCGCCTCCACCGCCACCGCCTAGACAATTCGGTGTTACTGAAGGTGGTACTGCCACCCGTGTGTCTACTAGTTCAGTTCCACTTTTCACTGATACGGTGGATACTGTCTCGAATCAGAAACGTGGAAGTACTAACTCCCTGCAATTCGATCGTGGAGCATCTTCCAAGGCATCCGAAGACTCAACTCTCTCTGGAGAGGACTTTACAGCAAAGTTTGTTGGTGAGTTTTAGATACTCGTCTGCATAACTAGTTTATTCAATTACTAAGGTTTTAAAAAACATGCTTTTGATGTTTTACTCATAGCAGGGCTGGTCTTAAGCTGGAGTCTTTTGTGTGTGTGTGTGTGTGTGTGTGTGTGTGTGAATGACTCGAGTTGTCCCTTTTCTTTACTGTCTGAAGAAAAATGGTAGTTTTTTAGATTTCTTTTATAAGTAGTCATGGCGTTAGGTAGAGTTCTTCTTTAGAACATGTGAGTATCATTACTTCCAATCTGATTTTACGCCCAATCATGGAAGCTGTTAGCAATGAATTTATTCGTTAAGGATTTAATGATAATCCTTCATTTATTGGGATTGATAATCCATTAACATGAAGTGTATGACATTCATAATTAAATTTGATGAAGAAAGGAAGGTGGATTGTGTACTTTGAAGATCATGACACCGGTTTCTGTATTACCAAGGTTTCTTTGGGAGTCCCTTTGTTCCTAAGTCCTTCATGGTTCGAACATTTGGGAATATTTCGCATTATTAAATCGTATCAATAAAACTGTGATCTCTGTTTTTAGTCAGAATAAACCATCGGGGCTGGTTTTCCCATTCATTATGTTTCATCGAATTCGTGACCTCTTAATAGATTTTTGTATTTCTCTTTTCTAGATCTCCATGTTCAGCTGAATAGGTCGATTACCGAAAGTAGTCTCCTTCGAACTGCTTACGAGCGTCACTTGAATCGCTATATCACTAACGCCGATCTATGTCCTCCCCTTCGTCTCAAACACCGTTGGCGAGTATGTCGACGTCTGCGTCAGCGTCAACAATCCAGCGTTACTGAGACCTATGGAGAGGAGCGTCCGAATTGCAACTGTCGAATTGGACTCGCTAAAGCCCCAGAATTTCTCTGTTGCGCTACTGGTTTTTCCTTCCGTTCAATGGTTGATTCTGCCAATGGGACCATTACTGAGACCTCTACAACTGCCAATAATGGCACTCGCGAATGCCCTAATGACGAGGCTGATTCGGCTCCTTCGTCATTCAGAATAGCCGACCTTAGACCCTTGCTCTATCCTCGTAAGTTGCCTATTTCTAAATCCTCATTCAATGACCATTTCTACTTTCTTTCTTACTCTATTGATTTCCTTTGCTGGGAAAATGCTGAATCATCTTGGCGGCAGTTTTCACTTGCACTCTTTGACTGATGACGCTTCTTTTGCGCTGACCTTTAAGATTTGAATTACGTCAATAGTTCCTTATTACTTTTCACAATTCCTCCTCCAGGCGGTGTTTAAATTAAAGTTCTACTGACGTAGATTTTTTTGTGCACTGCTCCGAGAGACTTTGTGTGATTGGCGAAGTGTTTTATGATTGCGATTGGCGTCATATTTCAAGTCAAAGTCAACTTTATCATGTACGCCGGTGTTGTGCAGGTGTTCTTTTTTTCGAGGTTTCTAGTGCCTATGCAGAGAGACAGGCCGATAGCGAACGATCGCTTCGAATTTGCATCTGGGCATTCGACCAGATAGGAAGATGCAAAATGAAAGGCGGGAATTTTTTTACAACTGTAGGAATTGGTGCGTCTGTCAATTGGGGGCTTGGAAGTGCACCGATTGATTAACATGGTGGTTCAAATTCGACTTTATTGTTCATGATAATTTCATGGTCCTGACTCAGTACCTACTCGGCATGCTTCTATAAACTTCGATAACTCGGTTGTCGTCTTCTACTTCTAAGCCGCATTTTATTGATTTATTTTGCTACATGATATTTTCTTGGCTGTTATAATGAAGTGGTCTATCCATTTTCAATAGTTCTTATGCAAATTCAGTAGTGTTTTTTTCTATTTGCCTAGGCCAAATATGAGCTTATTAACTTGAAATCGATGCTATTACACATTTTAAAAACGTACATGCAACATGCTAATACAGAGAAAAGCAAGTAATACTCATGGTGACTAAGTCTAGTTGACGCTTTCATTTTCCTATTTGTATTTTTAACGAATAATTTTAGGCCTGTCTGCGCGACTGTCGGCGAGTAATTCTTATCTAGCTCTAAAGACGAGAGTTGAATTGACACTGTACTGTCGAAACTTATCCTATTTCTGGTCCTGTTTATGAAATGTCGTAACCGTTTGCAAATTTTTTGCGTAATCACCCTTTGTGCTGACACGTCTACCTTATACCACTGGATATCTCTTTGCTACAATTGATTACGACCCCGAGAGAGAGAGAGAGAGGTGAGGGAGGCAAGATAGAATACAGTTAACTTTTTAGACACTTGTTGGTAGCGTGGACGAAATGTATCGTCACGTAAATATGGAAGGTTGTAACAATTATAGGATATGTGAAAGGTGGAGTAATAGGCCACTACTAGCCATAGACGTCAATGATTGTATAACCTAATTTAGCTAATTGGCATTACCGAGCTCCCAATTCGGCTCTCCCATTGATTCGTTTCCCGTGTAGGCGTGCACCTCGCTCAGTTTGGTCCGCTATGGTAGCAAATCTCTTCCTAGCCTCCTTGAGGCCCGTAGACTAGCATCTAAACAAAGACATGTCAAAGGATAGCAAGTTATCTTCATGTTTAGTGATACTGGGACATCAAAGCACAGCTGGCCTAACAACTGTTATAGTTCCAAATAGCTACCGATAGCGCTGGACGTCCAAGGAATTATCAAAATGATGATTAATGTGAAGACAACCTATGCAACTTGTTTAACCCCTAACAAAGTATGAACACATCCCGCAGATATATAGCCTTTTTTGTCCTCTTCCCATCACAAGGACTTCAATATTTTAAGCCATGGTGGGCCTTAATACCTGGCAATCACCAATCCAAACTTGACTAGCCGAATCTTATCGTAGACTTGACCTTTTCTTCAGATGAACCCAGTGCTCAGTAGTAGTATAGTATCACTGGAGTTGCAGTAAAGTTTGTTCTTTTTTTATTTATTTTTATCTGACTCTCATTGTAGATTCACGTGATAGTCGCATTTTCGAATCGTCAACCGCCTTGGTGTCTCGTTCGTCAACAACAGTTTCAGTTCTGGGTCCTGTTGACATTTTCCTCACGCCTCTCTTGACGGAATGTCTTGACAGGTTAGCAAAACTATATATTTGGTCTTTTTTTGTTTGAAAGTAATCTCATTACCAGTGAATGTCTGTTCTGATGTAGCCTTTTGTTTAATCAGTGAATCATTACCGCGATTCATGAGACTATTGATGAGCGCTTCTTAGCTGAGATATCGAAATATAAGTGGACAGTCTTGAAGAACTTCTGAATGAAAATCTGTTGATCAGTATCATCTAGTATTTGTAATTTCTATATTTTAGAGTGTGCTTCGTCGAGTTGCATTTTAACGAATTTGACCTTTCACTTTTCAAAGCTCATCAATTGTAGGCTGGCGAGTTAATGGGTGATCATGTGTAACTGAAGTGTATTGGCTTAGAGCTGTAGGCATAATGATGAGGTAAAGCCCTCCTGGAATTCATAAAACGACGTTCATCGTTTGAGTTCTTTATGCCCAAGGTAGGTGAGCTCGGTTCTAACTTTATAATTAGCCAGTTTCGTCTCCACTCAATTCTTGTCGACAGGTAATACAAATGGTGTCCTATAATCAGTTTTATACTATCTTTTTGCTTTTGCTATAGTTTAATCATTTAACCGAGTAAATACTACTCGCACTAAGGTCAAATAAACTCAGTAGGATTAACTGAACTCTCTCTCTCTCCCTGTGTTGCCTGTTTGGCCGCTTTTTTCTAAGTAACACAAAATCTTTTCCTTCATCAAGACACGGAGAGTGTGCAACTGTCATTTTAGTTTAAGTGCTTACGTGGTGTCATTTCCCTATGCGTGGTAGTTCTTCCATTTTCTTCTGCAGCTAGAAGAGTGAAGGCTAACTTGAATCCTCTTGTGTTGTCTTTTTTTCTGTCAAATAAAACCGCCCCAAATATAATATGCATAACCGTTAAAAGCATAGCACCAAAATAGCTTATTCCATTGATTTTCATTTTTTGTTCTAATCGATTTTCTAATCGATTCTAGAAAATCCACCATCTCTACACAATTCCTTATTATTTTAAATCCCAAACGCCTTAATAAATTTTATTCCAAATGCAACGATGTGGATATTGCAATAAGTTCCAGCTTTCAAAAATCGAATTCAAAATTTATAATGAAGTTTTTTGTTTGTGCATTAGACAGACTCGTGGATACTTGGGTAGTGCTATTTAATTACATTCCCCTATTTTTAACTGGGATATTCACAGACCGAAGTTCCTTCGATTGACTGTTGGGGTTCCAAATACTAAAAGGCAATAATAAAGTGGAAGATATTGGGTGCGGCTGTATCTCGTACTGTCTTAGCTCAGTTAAGAAAGTCTTGTCGCGAATGCTTTATTTCATTATTGCTCACTCTAGGTATTTAACCATCATTACTCCAGTGGTCGCCAATCGTTCTCCCAGTGCAGTGATCGACGAGCTTCATTTCAAATGCCTCCTTTCCGCTGGTCGACAGGGCAAAGTCCTCTACGAGGAAAAACTTAAGCATCAATACCCTTCGCCCTCAGTGGAGAATGTTAAATCACCTCCACCTTCCGCATCATCTCCACCTCCTACCTCAAATCCAACTAGGAAGGGAACTTTCTTTGACCAGTTTTCGGAGAATACTCTCTGGTTCCATCGATTCGGCAGTACCTCGGTGGATTCAAAAGTATCTCCTATTCATTCTAATGGTAGGATTTCAATCCTCTTTCAAATAAACGAAAGGGCTTATATCCGTGTATTTAAAATTTGTCTTAGGAATTTTTGTTAGTTTCATTGGAGGAGAACTCCTCGTTCTTTTGCGTTCATTGGAGCAGTGTTCAATCACCTCTGTTGGAGGATATTTATTGTCAATTTTGCTCCCCTTCTTTCCCCTCTAATTCTAGTAGGATGGGATAATTACAAGACCGTGGGTGCAGACATCGATTTTTTGTTCCCTTTCTCATGTTCTCTCCCTCAAGTTGTCATTGTCATCGTGCAGTCCTCTCACCTCAGTGAATTAGTTATTGAAGTTGTAGATGAATAGAACTTTAGAGTGTTTAAGTCTAACTAGATATATATCGTGCTTTAAAGTCTAAGGAGAACGCGATGTACTTGGCGGAAATTGTCAAGGAGCTGAAGGGTACATAGGACTATCAATGCAGGGGGTAGATGAGATGCTGAATCGAGAGATTGGTTGGAGTAGCTGCAAAGAGGAAGTAGCTTGCCGAAGTTTGGGCCTCAATAGATGGCTGGTTCTGAAAGTCAGCAGAAGCTGAAGATAATGGGGGGGGGGAATTTTGTGAGTTGCTAACGACTTGACTCTCCCTTGAACTTTTTCTGATTTATGAGAATGATTTGATATTTTCAAATTTTCACTATGATTTTACAGAAACCCAAACCACTCAAGCTGGTCCACGTTCGCGTCCTGATGTTCTAGCTCCTACGAATACTACTGAAGAGTCTACAAGTACTATGGCCGATCATTCTTCTTCACTTTCAATAAGTCATTCCCATCGCCATGGTAAAAATCATCATTTAGCAGAGGAGAACAACCTAGTGGGACTTCTCTCCCTTGGTCGAGTAAATATCGGATTCATGCAGATCTACGCGGTGGAAGATGTGGTCACCGTGGATAGTCTTACACTTGGCCTTAATGATCTCACTTGTGTGTCACTGCTTACTCTAGCTGTAGACTCAGTAAAAGTCCAGGTGCTCAACAACAAACGCATTCTTCACGTGGGTATGGGGTCGAGAGAGTTGGGAGCTTCATCGACAGCACCTCTACAGAGTACTGCGTCTTTCTCACCTGAAGCACTGACGAGAAGCCTTCTAACGACGGAAGAAAAGAGATTAAGTGAAGTGGCGGAGGAAAATGATGAGGATAATTCAACGGCTGCGTCACCGCTTCTTTCATCGCCACATCGGTCAGCTTCGAACTCTCTTCGACAGGAAACTCAAACTGCCCCCAATGCTCCTACAAATTCAAAAGCCAATCTTACTGGTGAGTGAATTTTGGTTGCTAGCTGATACGGAAGTTCAAATTTCAAACCGTTGACTTTGAGTGAAAGAGCAAGGCTGAAAATGTTTTTTTTTCTGCTAATATGCCGGTGACCTGTTGGAAACTATTGTCCTGAAGGGAAGCGGATAACCAGGTTACTGAAATCAAAGAAAGAAAATACTAAAAAATGAATAAGATAAGCTTTTGACTTGCATTAGTTACTTGCGAAGTTAATGTCATTGGCTTTAACAGTCGTAGGTACATATCGTGGGAATGAAATGATTTTGTTGAACTAAAAAAAGCTGGTGCCAATGCAACGATGTTCTCAACGAGATCGCTTATAGTGACTGATGAAAGATGCTTTCCGAAGTGAGCTTAGACAGGAAATGTTTAGAGTTCCTATTTCATTGGTGCTTCACTTATGTCATACCTGTTTTATTAGCTTTCATGACAACATTAATGTTTTTTCTACTTTCCAACCGTTTAAAGAACGCGATATTGAGTCCGGACCTGCTATAGATGAACTCAGACCACAGCCTCTACCGAAAGTCGTGAGCGCTACAGAGGTTCGACATACCGAGCGCCTCGTGTGCAATTTCTCTATTTCTCGAATTCACTCTCAACTCCGACGACTCACTCGCGAATCCTCTTTCACGCCCGATGTCCTCCTCACAGCAATCCCCTTCTCTGCTTCCCGTGTCTTCTTTTCATTCGATGCCGATCAGTCAGCAATGTCTCGTCAAGCTGGTACTGCAAGAAAGTCTCCCCCTGCAGTAGGTGGTCTATATACAGGCGTCCATGGGCCTACTCCTTCCTCTTCTACTGCCCAATTACATCAACCACCGCCTCCTAGTATCCCGTCCCATGCTTCAGAATCAGCTCTTCCTGGTCATTCAGCTGGTTGGATTATGTTTGAGTCGGGTATGGAGGAGTTGACTCTTCTGTTTGTTCAACGAAAAGGCTACGGCGACTCCTTGGAGGAGAAATCTGACAACATGACGACTAACTTGCCACGGCCATCAAAAAGGAAATCCAAAGCCAGAGAAGTTCCTGCTTCCATTATAGTAATGAGTCGTATGATTTAATCATGTCTTTACACAATTCTCTGCTTGAACCTTAAATATTTCTCTGCTTCCTCATTATTAGACTGAAGAGAATCCAAAGGAGGTAGCCTACTTTGATATTGAAGGCATCAAGAATGCCTTCTTGATGAATCTACATGTCAAAACAGTGTGGCTAAACTTTCCTGCACCTAAGCATCTTCCAAGTAAACGCCGAATGGAAATTATCCGGTGAGATTTCTTAGATATCATCATTTTATCATTTTCTGAAGCCTGGTTTCTCCTACTATACTCTGGTCACCTACTAGATTGATTAGAGTTAAATTAGCTGAATACTATTATTATTATTATTACTTCAAATGGCAGGCGTTTTGATTAGTTATCATTAGCCATTTAGCTGACTTCGGGCTTCACAGGAAAGAAAGTGGTGTGGTTGATTCAAGACTAAGGAGGACTTTTCTGAAGAAATGGTTTCTTCATAGACCTAACCTCCGGACTGGTGACAATTTTGTTAAAACAAACTGTCTAGTTGTCGGCATCTATGTGATTTCATCTTTTAATATAAATAAAGAGCGATCTGAAGACTACTTGCTGGATACAAATAGCTCACTTCGATATTACTTATAGACACTAGGCTGTAGCGCTATATTTGCGTTTTTTTAGCTCTGATTGGAATTTCTTGAGTACGATGACTCCGACAGTGAACGCTTGGATTGGACCCGGTTATCGTCTAGTGGGCAATTGCAAAAACCTGATGGCTCGAGCAGATCGTCGAACGCTCTCTGTTCTAGCTTGTCTCATGATGGAGGCTGTAAATGGTGATAGACCGCTCCCTGATTTCCGCTTTAGCTCCATCGAAGATGAGGTCTTCAGCACAATCTCAACTCTTCGCACTCCCGATGCTAGACGTCTTCGCTACGATCCTTCTTGTCAAATATTCACCACTCTGAGACGTTACCTTCAAGCTCTAAGAAGGCAGCATGGACCAGCCGCCCTTAATTTCAAGTTGAATGATTGTCTTCGAGAGTCTGTGCTCCCAGAAAAGATGACTCTTCTTCGTGGACTTTTCCTTATCCTTCGAGAATGGAGAGTGGCTGTGGATGTTTTGGTCATACCTCAAGTTGCTCCAGTTATGACCCGAAAATTCACTGCCCTTCTAAGTAGGAAGAAGGAGGACGGTGGAAAGCAGTCTCTGCACCCAATAAGACCAGCCAGCACATCAAATGAACCCCTTGAAAGGCGACCCTCTGGTTTGACTCTCCGAATGTTTGAATTGATGACTCAGAATACGACAGATTCTAGAACAGTCAATACGACTGGTGTTGAGAGATTGAATAGAAATATCGATGTGGTTGAAGAAATTGATGAAAAGGAGTACTCGGATTTGGATGAGGAATCACTCATTAATGATCCAAGCATTCGGAACGAGAATACGATCTTGTATCGTTTTCTGCAAGATGCTCAAAATGGAATTAGGCATGTTTCTACTTTGGTCTTTTAATTATTAAATTAAATATTAGAAGGCTTTTCGAAGCTGTTGGCAATATTATTTGGGGCACCTATTCACCACTTACCGACTTTTCTGTTAAGTAGTGGAATGATCGCTCATATCTTTGCTTTTCAATTCTCACCTACTCTTTTAAAGCTTGGCCTTGATAAAGGAGGTACACGTGTTCTTTGCGCCTTAATTTTTGCTTGATAATTATTGCCTAGGTTTCACTACATAGGCCTAGGCGTGGGGGGGGGGGGGTGGAGGGAGGCTTATCGACAAAGTGCTAACTTGTGTGTCCATGACGATTTTTTCACTCCTTTTCATTGCATTTTCGTTGACCACAAGAAGTTGAATGTTCTTGATAAGTGAATAATAGTGGAATTAGATACTTCAACCTCATAATGATAAGTTAAATTTCGTGGTTGTTAATGCCTCATTTCTGCAAAACATAACTGCAGAAATCGGTCTTGCACCTTAATTTGTGAATCACATTCTCATTTGTTCTTTGATTGGTAGTATTGATCAGTGTATGCGCCGTAACCTTCAGTGCAACTTCTACCGCTTGGTCAAAAGAGTCAATTTAGATCAGTTCGGCCTTTAAAATCAAGTGTTGTACATTTCCGCTTGCGATTATGATCTCGCTGTTCAGAGGAATCATTTCTTGAGTACTTTAAATCGCGCGGATAGTGCGTTAGTCTCCCACTCTCTTAATTCATCTAGTTATGGAGGGAAGCATAACCTCGAATTCAAACCCTAACCCCGTTTGTTTTAGATAAGTGTTTGATTACTACTCTTCCTTTTTATTGTCTGAAATTTGTGTGGATGCCGATAGATTTTGCAATTTCACTTCCAAGGTGGTTCCTTTTTTATTTCTCTATAACAACGTTAAGATTTGAATAAATCACTAGATGTCGGTGGATATGTGCTCGTTACATACTTGTATTCACACAAAAAACTAACGTATTGTGTTTTTGTGTGTGTGTGTGTTAGTGAGAATAGATGCACGCTTCATGTCCTCTCAACAATGTGCTCTCTTCTAACTTACTCCATTGTTACTCTAACTTTACCTTGAACGGAATTTCACCTGCGTTCTCTTTTCTTTAATGAAGTCTATCTTTTTAACTTTGATATCCACCAGCACTTTGTTAATCTACTCAGGATTCGATCTAAACTCGAATAGAAATCCATTCATTTATTATGGGTCCACAAGGGAGCTTTGTTTACGCACTATATGGTGATGGAAGTAGGTTTTCCTTGTTGAATCACTCCTATTATCTTCTCCTCCCCTCCTTGTAGACACTCCCAATCCATAGGCAACATTCCGAATTCTCCTGATGTCGGTGCTCCAGCTGGGGTTGACTCAGTGTTACCTATGGCAATCGCAGGTCCCAAGTGGGAGTTCGCTTCAAAACCTTCCGCTGTGGTAGAAAATACAACAGAATCTCAAAAACAACAGCAACAGCAGCAACAACAACAACAGCGATGTCGCGAGCCTTCATTAACTCCAGAAAATATGAATCAGATAAATCATTTGAAAGGACAGTTCCGTTTCGTTGACGACGCTCAAAGGCTATTCAGACCCCTACTTGAAGCCATTGGAGTGAATATTAAAGTGCGTTGTTTTACTTAACCTTGCCTTTGCATTTAGTTTGAGTATGCCAAATTTGAAGTCAGGTGATGATGACTCATTGGTGCGCATTTGGTGAGCTTAAATTGACAAACACCGTTTTCCGATTTTAATGAAATTAGGCAAATACGAGATTGACTTCATGGTGTTTTACTGCTGCTCACCATGACTGTTTGACCTTTTAGGTCATTGATATAACTTTCTTAACCCCTTAACGCCCGAATTATTTTTAGAAAATGCACCCAACTGCACTCACGTGCATCTCACAGCACGTTGATACCACCGTCGTGACGAGTTTGGTGGTATCAAGCGAAGTCTATAGACGTATTGAACATGTTTTAAATGGCAATAACGCCTTCTGTTACGAGACTAGTACCAGTGGATCTTATTTTGAAAGCGGACTGTGTGGTCCTAAGAGCGTTAAAGGGTTAGATATTTTGGCAGGATGCAAAAATAATATCATCAGAGCGAAAAATTGTTACCAAGTTATCAAATGTTTTACTTTTCAGGGTGTTCGTCGGAGTACCCTAATGAAGAAGTTCGGAGGTCTGTTTGCAGCTGAAGGCATGTTACATTGCTTCCAAATTGAAATCTGTGATTCCCTGGAGAACCCTCTTCAAAAAGTAGCCACTTTGCCGATGACTTCAGGTGTTACCACCAGCGCGCGTCGATTTAGAAGTGCTAATGCGCAAAAATTCAATGCCAGTGGACATTCTGCAAGTGGTTCTACACAAAGAGCCCTTATGTGTCATCGTTTCTCTACAAAAATTACTCTAATGGATGTGGTTGGTTTTGGAAAGCAAGAGAGTGCAGCTGTAAGTCAAAAGAGCGTCTAAAATTAAATCCTAAGAGAGTGGATTTTCATCGCTTTTATTTCTACTTTCTTTTAGACTCGTTTAGGCGATATTGAACTGCGCTCCACAACAACCAAGATTATTGTGGATTTGCATGTGGACAGTATCAGTCAGCATTCAAATATGCCACTCTTTCGTCTCACTCATCAGTTTGTCACCATGTTCTACTGTGCTCAGGATGCTCAAAAGTCTGCTAATATGCGAAGAAATCTCATTTTGACAAAACCGCCTGCATTTGACGCCAAAGGTAAGCCAAGAAGTTTGTGCAAAAGCACTTATTGCATTCTCTAACACCGGTAATATTTTGAGTAGTGTATGATTAGCCTATCACAGTGTGCGTATGTGTATCTTGAAGCCGATTATCAAGTAGATGCAGATTAAATTTTGATACCTCTTTTAGAGTTTTTGTTAGCACTTCTCCCCAACCCCCCCNCCCCCCCCCCCCCCCCCCCCCCCCGACCCCCCTCCTCCCTCCCCAGTGAATGATTGGATGCAACGAATAGTTGTCCCATTTTGAAGTAACTACAGGTTATTGTGAAGTGGAACAGTTTTGAGCAGTATTGTTAGCAAGAATTTGAAGAGTAAGAGCGTTTAGAAAAAGTTTGAGTTGTTCACTCAATTATTGTGTGATGTTTGAAGGGGCAAGGTTATTTAGTTAAAAATACCGCAGGAGCTTAGTGTGTCGACTCCTTTAACCAATGAGTATGCAGCACGCAATTGCATTCACTCTGTCGCGCGGCTGCTTATACAGCTTTGTGGAGGAGCGATGACATCTGGTGGCGATTGAGAAAGTAGATCAAATATAGTTGAGTGTAAACTCACATTTTTATAAAAGTTTTAATCGCAGCAGCCGAGTGACCATCTCACTCTGAGCTAATCAGGTAGTCGACAATTGAATCATTTCCCTTGTCTATTTCTATACTTCTATCGATTACGCCTTGTTTGCAGGTATTCAATAGGTTGACCTAAATGACCAAACTTCATTTCTGCAGTTTGAGTGTTTTTTTGTCTATCGGTAGTGCTGTGAAAAATCCAAGGAGTTGGTAATGTGCCTTGGACCTTGGGTCTGCCTTTGTTTAGTTAAGCCATTAAGCGACAAAAATGTCTGCTGATGACCGAATGGCGTAAGTTCAAGACGATGAATGCGTCAGTCATGTATGTGTTCAGCCTTGATGGCAAAGTTATAAATGTGGTCTGCCAATGCCTCTATCTAAAATCCAAGCTTCAATACACTGCAAATTTAAGACCAACTAGCCAGTTCCAAAGTCTTAAGTTTACTCACTCTAATTAAGTAGTATTTTAAAAGTGTCTTGGGATAGAGAAGTCAACCACGATTTCCCTAATGGAAAAGTCATTATGATAATGAATTTCTATTGGCTTCGCTGTTTTGAATGCTCGCCGTTAAGACGCTACATTTTTCACTTAGTGGAAAAAAGAATTATGAATATTTTTAATACGGGGTGTTCGATCGACTTACCTCCACGTGGTGCACCCTGGGCAACGTGTACTCATGCGGCAAAAAAGGTCTATTATTCGGCAGTTGACTTCTGACTTTAAACTACCATGACCTGACTGCATTTCATATTCGATCATTTCCACAGAACTCACCTCACCTTTTTTCTACCTTTGTGTCTGTCTCTTTTACATTTTTTGAGACACCCTTCTGTTCCCCCCCCCCTCGACTTTTTTCCTTTTGATGTTACCTCCTCTCTGTGAAGCCTGAAGTCAACTAAAGGGCTAATTATACCTATCAAAACGCCCGCCATTTGATATAAATAAATATTTTAATACTCTTTCTCTAATTCAGGCTCCGTTGCTGATACAGTGGAGACAGGAAGCACTTTGAAATCACGTCATGACTACACTCGCCTCAGCGGCCACTCACAAGATAGCACAAATGACAGCACCGCCTACCAACCTTACTCAAATCTTGGTATTTTATACCTTTCTTATCTATTTATCATGCAAAACTTGAACTTACTTTTCGATTTTGTTTTCATTTTAAGATGGAAAGACAGGTGACGGCACCTCTATCTCAATCCATGGTCATGGGAGTGGAGGTTCTCAAAACTTACTTCCCCCCTCATTGCAATCTTCTCGAGAGGCATCGTATGGAAAGATGCCCGATTCTTCTACTGAAACCCGAGGTGATGAAATGTTTGGTGTTTTACCTCCAGCATCTGTACCACCTACCGCAACTGGTACAACTATTCCGCAAAATGCATCGGTGATGCCAGAGTGTTGGCGACGCATGCTAAGATATATTGACCTTTACTCGACCATACCAGAGACTAAAAATGTTATTAAGAAGGTAAGCTTAGTTCATATTACTCGATAACTTGATTTTTGAATTGTGACATTCAATATATTTGTACTCTGGTGTTCTGCGTTCATGTCATATCAAAAATTCTTCTTTTTACTTTGGGAGAAGACCAAATAGATTGGAGAGGAAGTTCAGAAAACTCTGGGTTTTGTTGAAAGAGAGGGTGGAGGGGGTGGGGAATTTAATGACGAATACCTTTAAGCATTTCATATTTTTTTCACTGGCAGTTGTATACAGAAAAAATTCAAATTTGTGGAATATCTTTATCGTTGAGGTTTGTCTCCAGGAGATTTAATCTTAAATCGACATTAAAACAGGTGTGTCATCTTACATGAAAGTACTTTTCTACCTTAAAGGAGAGATTCTTCCTTTATTTTCGTCACATGAGTGGAAATATGTTTTCATATGTTCATTTGATTTGATTGTTTCTCCTTTTTCAATTCATTCGTTAAATCAAATTACTGCAACTTCAAATAACATTCACAGAGAGGAGGCCACGTAATCACTCAAATTTAATCAAAAGCTCTATTTTTTTGTTGAGAGAGATGCCATTTGTACTCATATACAATCGTACTTGCCACTGTACACGGTATTTCAGGTGAATTTGGTCCCCTTGTTCACCGAAACACCAGCAATGTCATAGTACCTTTTATGAATGGTTTTAATGGGAGGAGCATGCGTTCCGTTGCACTCTACTTTCCCCAGTCCGCTAGCATCAACCATTATTCACCAATAAATAGCATATCTGTCAACGCAGGTGGTAACAGTAACTTTTATTGCCTATATCCTCGACTTCTGCTAAACGGGATTGGCTGTGACTGCTCTTTTTCAGGCCTCAACTCTGCCGAAAATTCTGGAGGAAGGTGGATACCTCAGCTATGTACGTATTTTATATTCCCCCTCCATTCCGCCCCCCCGCCCC